CCAAAAGACGGACTTAAAAAGATTGGGACAAATGTATCAGAAAGACACATAATTCTATCGTATATTGAAGGTTTTTGTTGCTATAAATTAAATTCATTATATTATTATTATACAGTTAACACGTTAAATGGATAATGTGATGCCGAACTTGTGGTAAAAATGTGATAAATAGCTTTCTGAGAAAAACTCACCCCCCCAAAAAAAAACAACAACAAAACAACAACAACCCACCAACAACAAAAAAACATACGTTTTTGCTAATGAAGTCTCACCGAACAATGACAAGACTGACATCGTCAGGCGAAATAAGCGCAGTTTTTGTGACATTGGCGGACTGACATGTTGGTGTCAAATTAATCATCTCCCGGAATTGACCCTGGAAACTTGGACATAAAAAAATGATGAGACTTAAAACCATGATGGCAGGAAAACGAGAACTTTGTTTTCTTTTTCTTTTTTCCCCCGCAAAATAACCTATAAATTTAATGTTCTTTTTTTAAATTTTTTTTTTTTACCTTGCTCAATTCTATCATATGACGCTTTTGTCTTCAGTAATAAAAACGAACTGTGCAGCATTTTGGGAAATTAGCTGTTAGTCTTTGAGTAAACTCCCAGGAAAATGTTTTACATATAAATAAATACATTAAGTAAATAAATATGTTTCTTCACTCTTATAACGTTTTTGGGTAAGTTACACACCTAAGTGTTGCCATAGCCCCAACTGGGGATGGTTACAACAACTGGTTAGTAGTTAATTGTTTAGATCATGTTAGTTCTACATTCCTCAGCGCTTTCGAGTCACGAGGTGGGCACCCTCTGTCCCGCTCCCTCGTGGAGTCATCTTTACAGTGTCACCGAAGGTTCCGAAAGTTTGCACGAAGTCTCATACTACGGTGATAAATTAATGTTCTTGATAATGGACGGTGAGACCTAGTTTTACAACTCTTACTTTCGGTACAAGCGAAATATGTGAGTTCATATCGTCATCAAATCAGACTTTCAGTCAAACCGTAGATTCACCCGCCCTAACCATCACCATTGATCATAGTATGAGTCCCGAGTCTATATTATGGTCGCTTTTAAGGACAAGTGGGCCCTCCCAGATTTCGGGGGGTTTCCAGAAATTTTGACCTACACCAAAAGTGGGCATTGTCCTACCCATAGGAGACGTTTGGTTTCATTGGTGTGTATATTTGTTTGGTTACAGAGAACACTCTCATTATCTT